TCTGCAGATGAGCCAAGACTCGCATTCGCTTTCCATAGGTGGCTGGTCGAGAATGAAGGAGGAGCTTGACAACGAGAGTTCAAGAAAGACTTTGTGACTCCGTGTCCTTCCTTCTCTCTCAGAAATCCTTCGACTACTTTATAGGCCAGGGAAGTTCAGTCTTCTGATTGAGCTCTCTTATTTTCCTGTAGCCGGATAGGAAGAAAGTACTGAATCCCTATTTGCATTCTCTCATGTGAGGGTGAGAAGAGGCATCTCAGTTTGGCTCGCATTCCCACACTTCAAAATATCATATGTAATGTTAAAGAGTGAGCTCTCTTATTTTAGGCTAGTTCTCCCTATGTAATCTTAGAAAGTGTCCGGATTCTTCTCCTTCTCTTTTCTTCGTCATCCGCAGCCGTTTTCATTACCAATTGGAAAATAGACTAGTGGCGACTCTTCTTCTTTTCTTTTTTTGGTAATAGGCTCTCCCGCCCGAAGGTTTCAAGCAAGAGTAGGACTTTTTTAGGTTTATTTCGGGGCTATTGATGTTCTAGACGAGGAGAGCTGGAATGGATTTTGGCCTTCTTAATATTCTTTCTATTCACGAGTTGCGGTCTAGCCACCTTCAAGTCATTTTGCGTGACATCTCTTGGAAGAAGGAAGTGCCTTCGAAAGCCTGCTCTTGACTAGTTTCCTTTTCGCTCAGCCAAGAAGGCAGACACGGGATTTGAATTCTAGCTGCTCGCCCATGTGCCGAAGGATATCTCTTTCCTCGCGTAAGGCTAAAGAAAGAGATGCCAAAATGAGTTGACCGCTCGAGATGGCACTGATTTACTTGGTTTCTAGGCCCAATTCAACTTTCTTCCCTGCCCCCTATAGACGCCCTGGGCTTATCAAGAAAGAAGGGTCGAGAGAAGAGTTTAGATTGCCTTATGCGTTTCAGGAGATTGTTGTGAAGCGAAAAGAGAGTAGATTTGCACGTGGAAGGTGAGACAAGACTTTCTTCTTTAGATGTGTCTTTCGAAGAGCCAATTCTACCTGAACTCGATTAGTTCTCTTTAAATTTAAAGGGGATCCATGTCTGCTCACACTGATCCAATCGATGAAACCGCTTGCTACAAGAGAGAACAATTTCCTGCCGATTCGGAGAGTCATTCGATGTCTGGTAGAGCTTAGATAAGATGGACCGCTTCCGTCAAAGGAGCATATTAGGCTTAATAAAAGATCTAGAAGGGCCAGCAAATAGAATACTTCCGCTTGTCTTCTTTGTACCTAGACTGACAGCCCTTTCCACTGGATCTCTCTGTCCGCCCTGAGTTCCCTTCCCAATCCCCCGTCCAGTTAAGGACAGTGCTTTCCCTTCCCTTTGGGATTGAAGATTCAATATAGGGGCGCGGTCTTTACCCGATGAGAAGCTTGAATAACTCCCCTTCCGCTATAGAAATCGTTAAAGGAAGTTCCGGGTCCAATGTTCCTAACCTAATGTCGATTGACCGGGTCCGATGTCGAGAATGTTGATGATGGGGGGTACGTGATCCATGGTTGAGTGATAACTGAGTCTATAGCCATGCTACGAGACGTGTTGGCAACCCTCAGCGGGGGATTCCTTATCTGAGGTTTCAAACTTAAGATTAAATGTACCGACATTGGCCTCTGACACACTTTACTTAAAGTAAAACCAGATCCAATTGTCCATTGCCCAGGGGAGAAGGAGCTAAGTCAGTCTATTAAGGCAGTACGGGGGCGTGTTCAAATAGAGGCTGTTAAGCTGCCTTTCCGAGACCCGGTAATGGGGGCGATGCCAAAACGTTCGCTAAAAGGCTTTCTTTAGCGGAGTAGCTGTATAATGCTAATTAGCCGAACAAGGAAAAAACAAGGCAAAAGGAAATCGCTGATTGAATCCATTCTACAGCTAGGCGCAGGGGGGGAGTCTCAACACCAAATGGGCTACCCTATTGCTACACCGACCTACAGATCTAACAGCAAACCCTGGTCTAACCACCAGGTGGTGAATAATTTCAGCAAGAATAGCACCTATCCAACTATCACTAGCATCCGCCTGGTTGATTTTATCAATAATGACCTTGGCATCCCCCTCAAAACACACCTCCATCAGCCCCTGAGTCTGGCACCATAAGATAGCTTCCCTGAGCGCCAACGCCTCTATTACAGTGGGATCATCGATCCCTGGGAACTGAAATCCGCCAGCCATAAGGACCTCTCTAGTCGGCGTCAATAAGACAAAAACCCCAGCTAAATGAGACCCTCGCCTCGTAGCCCCATCCCACATGCAAACCAACCTATCATCCCCTGCCAGCACCGGTTGAGATATGGGAGTGACAGCGGAGCGAGGATGGCGATCCACAGGCAGACCAACCCACTCCTCATACTGCTGATTGTACTGACGCAACAACGCCGGAAACCCAAACTGCTTGCCCTCAAAGACAACCCAGTTGCGAGAACGCCAGATTCGCCACAGAACAGCAACAACTGCCATGAGAACCGGTGGCTGATTGAGCAGAGCCATCAAACGTTTAAGAAACAGGGGAAAAGTGTGCTGGGGTAACCCTTCACCTAGGGAAGCCAGTCCCGAATAGTCCCAGAGTGCTCGAGCGACCGGACAGAAGAGGAATAAATGTTCCAAGGTTTCTGACTCCGCCCAGCAAACCGGACACCTAGGTAAGACCGGAACATCTTTGGCAATGAGAGCTTCAGTCGTAGGAAGCATGCGGTTTAGGATTTTCCAAACAAACACCTTCAATTTCGGTGGCAGATTTGCTCCCCACAGCCTGACCCAACTAGCCTTATCCATCCAGCTAACCTCTGACCTCCAGCACCCCTGGCGCCTATCAAGGGTAACAGCAAGATGATATGCCGACTTCACAGTGAAAATGCCCTCCGGAGTATTATGCCAAACCAATATATCCGCTACTGGCAACCGCGGAAGGGGGATGGCTTTAATGGCCGCACATGTAGGCGGGTCGAACCACTGGCTCAATTTTCGATCACACCACCGGCCCCCTGCCGGCTCGATCACCTCTGCCACCACCGGATCTTCCCCCACTGGAAGGATCTGGGGGTTATAGCGAGGCGGATCAAGCTGCAATTGAGGAATCCAGTTTGAGTGGAGAAGGGAAGCAGACTGCCCGTCCCCAATTTGCCACCGGAGCCCTGCCTCTAACAACTGGCGACCATACAGAATACTCTGCCACCCTCAAGAGGGACGAGACCGCGCCGTTGCCGAGAGGAAGGACCCATGCGGAAAATACTTCCCTTTATAGACCTGCGCCAGTAGGGATTGGGGATCCTGAAGGAGACGCCACCCAATTTTAGCCAAAAGAGCTTGGTGAAAATGCTCAAACCGGCGAAACCCCATTCCTCCTTCATGCTTACTCCGACACATATTCCTCCAAGACATCCATCGGATTCTCGGATGACCCTCCTCAGCACCCCACCAGAACCTTGCCACATGTTTATCCAGTAAGCGACACAGTGAAAGGGGAAGCCTGAAACAGGACATCACATGCAATGGTAAAGCCAAAGAAACGGACTTGATAAGCGTTTCCTTAGCCGCCCAGGAAAGCGTTCTCCGCTTCCATCCTTGGAGGCGCTCCAGCAGCTTCTCCTCCAAGTATCTGAAAGTTTCCATCTTAGATCGAGCAATCAGCGTGGGCAAACCCAGATATTTGTCTTGAACCCCAACCGCCCCTACCCCCAGAACTGCAGCCAGGAATTCTTGGTCCGGCAAAACAATGTTTCTACTAAAGCATACTGCCGATTTATCCAAGTTCACTCTCTGGCCACTGAGTTCCTCATACTCATTCAATACCTCGATTAAATTTTCACACTCCTGAAGGGACCCACGCAGGAATAAGTACGAATCATCAGCGAAGAAAAGATGCGAGATCCGCGGGGCCCGGGGAGCAACCTTGATTCCCCCAAGCTTCTTTTCAGAGATAGCTTTCCGAAGGAGCGCAGCAAACCCCTCCGTACAAAGCACAAACAAAAGGGGAGACAAAGGATCCCCCTGGCGGAGACCTCTAGAGGGGGTGAAATAACCCGAGGGAGTGCCATTCATTAAAACGGAGAAAGATGAGGACCGAAGGCACTCTTGTATCCATCCCCTCCAGGTAGAGTTAAACCCCATTTTTTCCAAGACAGCGAGCAGAAAGACCCATTCAACCCTGTCATAGGCCTTTTCCATGTCAACCTTCAAAGCCATGAACCCTTTCTTACCTCGTGTCTTAATTTTCAAATAGTGCATTAACTCATGCCCAAGGAGGATATTCTCAATAATTTGTCGGTCCCGTATAAAAGCGTTTTGACCCTCTGAAACAATCAAAGGTAAAAAACCCGCTAGTCTTTCAGCCATGATCTTAGAAATAATCTTATACACAAACTGGCACAGGCTGATTGGCCTCAACTGCCTCATATTCTCCACCGAATCGCTTTGGGAATCAAAGTGAGCCAAGTATGATTAAAACTGCGGAGCATCTTGCTCGTCTCAAAGAAAGAGCAGACTGCTTCCACCACCGAGGTTCCCACAATATCCCAGAAAGCTTTAAAGAATTGCCCCGTAAAGCCATCAGACCCAGGAGCCTGCTTCGAACCCATGGCAAAAACTGTTTTGCGAACTTTAGCTGGCAGAACAACCGTCGTTAGGCTGGCATTCATTTCAGGGGTAACAGTGCAATCTATAGGCAGGGCCGCCACTCTGTCAGCCATATTAACGACCTGATTCTCCGAAAGGAAGAGGTGTTGGTAGAAATTGGTTGCAATGCCAGCTTTCCCCGGTTCATCCGTAACCCAATCGCCTTCATCATTTCGAAGGCCTGCCACAAAATTCTTCTTACGCCGCGTCCGGGTCACTGTATGAAAATAAGAGGTATTCTTGTCGCCTCTCTTTAACCAGTGGACCCTAGACTTTTGCTGCCAGTAGAGCTCCTCCGCCTCCCATTGCCGATTTAACTGATTTTCTCCTTCTCCTCCTCCTCCTCCTTCAAACCCTCCCCTCCTCATCAAACGCCCACCTCCTTCCTCGACCATTCACCGAAGCCCCCAAAATCGGCGGCCGCCACCCGACCATCGTCGGCGTCAAAACCTACCTCCGCCGCTACGGATTCGCAGACGGGTTTGCCGTTGTGCAGAAGGACATGGATTTTCTTGTGGACAGCGTTTGATTTGATGAGGAGCTCGCTCTTGGATCCGAACTGCTCTTGGAGGAACTCGTACTCGACGGATTTGAAGTTGAGCGCGATTCTAGGCCTCATTACGTAAGGGCTCGCCCAGGCGCCGATCACTTTCACATCTCTGCGTGCTGCTTCGGTATCACCAGCCGATTCAGCTTCCCGACGTCGCTCGGCGTCACCACTTTGTCGAACATGTGCTCCTTCTCTATCGGCATCGCCATCGAAGACGGTCCGGCTCCGCGGTGGAGATCGCGATCCGCATCGCTCGAGCTCCCGAGGGACAGGTCCACGAAGTCGAGCCGCCGGTTGTCGAAATTGAAGGCTGCAGAGGACGGGGCGGCGACGGCGTGGTGGTGGTGGTGTTGAGGGAGGAAGTTTTGGTACTGGATAGCGGAAGGAGATGCAGCAGCAACAGAAGAAGAAGATTGAGAGGAGGGATCGTTGTAACTGGAAGGGAAATGGAGAATGGGGGTTGGAATTGCGGAAGCAACACCATAGTCGTCTTCTTCTTCAGCAGATTCAGGGGGTCGGGTTTGGGGTTGGGTCGATTATTGGGTTGGTTTGTGGGTTGGGTAGGGAAGGGTGACATGGCGGGCAAATCTGACGTGGCGGGTCGGGTAGTTATTTTTTAGGGTTAAAATAGGCTGACTGTGATTTTCTGTTAGCCATGTCATCACTTAACGGTCGTCATTAACGGAGTCTAACGGAGAGTGACCGAACTTGGACTGTTCAACTAATGTAAGTGACTACTAATGGAATAAATCAATTTTAGTGACCAAACGTGAGATTTTGTAGCAATTCGAGTGACCAAACTTGCAATTAAGCCTTAAAATGACACTAGATTTGTGCCCGACATTGGCCGGGATGCGTTTCATTCGATTATCATATAAATTTATACTTAAATGATTTTGGATATTATACTTAGATTTATAATTAAATTATTTTGGATATTTATCTTTTTTCATTGAAAAATATTTGTCAAAAGTAATTTGGTTTGTGTTATTTAAATGCAGGTTTATGGAATTTTAACCAACCACTCAATATTTGGTGGATAATTTTGTGTTGAAAATAGACCGTACATTTTCATAATCAAAATACATAACTCTTAATTTATGCATATTACACATTGAATAAATTGGCCATAAGCATATACAATGTGATAGTTTGATCCTATTGTAATTTTGTAAAAACATCTTGCAGTTGGAGCTTTTAGAAAAAAGTAATTTATAAAAAAGCAATTTAGTGTATGGCTAATAAACTATAAGAAATACTTTTAATATTAGAAGTAGAAGTATCATTGAATAATAAATATATTTCAAATATAAAAAAGTAAATATATATTATTATATTATATAATTTTTTTAAAATTTAAAATGATATAGTAAAAGAAAATTATAATTTTTGGAAACATAATATAAAAATGTTAAGAAACATCTTGCACTTGCATAAAAGCTTATCGTATAAAATGGTGGCTGCTACCTACACTCTACTCTCAAATGGTGGCTGATTTTGTGTATATGGGTAATGCAAATCAAGTCCTGCCGTGGGTAAAATAATATGAAAAAGAATCTACGTACGGGCTCGTTTGTTTGTTGGATTTGAAAATGAGTGTTTTGTATTTTGAATTTTTTTGGATTTACGATGATTTGTTGCATTTTGTATCTGAAAGATAACATTATTTGTTTAGTTGATTTTTTTTTATCATGGATTCAGGGCTCGTTTGGAGAATATGAGTATAAATCTTATAGATTGTCAACAATATAAATATTCTAACTTTTTAGATTATTAAAAATAGGTTTTAAAAAGTTTATTGTTTGGTAATTGTGATTGTTAACGTTGAATAAACATAAAAATTATAATTTTATATTAAATAACATGTTTATCTTTAATAAAAAAATTAGAGTGGTTCCAGATATACGGAATAATTTGTTGATGAATATATTTAATGTGATAAAAATATATAAATTGATTTTATTACCGTAAATATATAAATTGATTTACTTGATTGAATCTAACACTTATTTATAGAGATTCTCCATCTAAACATGCTCCATCCAAAATTTCTAGCTCTACGAGAAAACTTAGGGAGGATATTTTTGTCATGTATTTGTTATAAAAAAATGTAACAAACTCTACGCATAAACCCTATAAAAGTGACTATTGCTCTAAAAAAAGTTATTTCTTAATAATTAAATAATTGACAAGTAAGTAAGAGACTATTATCACTTTTCACGCCTCAACTAATTATTATATTTTCTATTTGATAAATCATTTAAAAATAAAACTATTATCACTAAACACAACTCAACTAATTATTATTTCTTTTCTTTGATAAATCATTTAAATAATAAATAGCATTTTAAATCTTAAAATCTTACGCTTTTAGGTTATCAAAACTGACTACATTTTGTGCAATAATGCAGTCAATGCGTTTTAAAGGTTGAAAGTTTATGCATTTACGCTTCTAGGTCACCAAAACGCTTCTAACTAGAATCATGCTTTGAATGTGTTGGTTAGAACACCAAAAATCCCAACAGAATTAAGATTTTTGAAGATAATCAATGATCTCCAACAACAGATGTGACTAGAATGAGGTGAATTCTTTGTTGTGAAAATTATTTTTCCTATATGGTTAAGTTTAGGTATTGTTTGTTTGTGGGATTTGGCTTCCAAATCCCAAGCGTCAAGGAGTTGGCACTAACCCATCGTTTGCTAAGGGACACAAATCCGTGAGGCCACAAATTTGCAAAGACCATATTTCATTTGGGATTTGATAATGGAAGGCAAAATTATGAGACAAATCAATCATAAACCTATGGTAAAAATTAACTTAACAAACAATGTTACCAATCATTTTTGTATACCTATAATACTGTGCCATAAAGTTTATTATGAGTTGATATTCCTTCCATGAGCCCTATAATTTTAACTTCAACCAGAATCTGCATATATAGAAGACAATGATTACAAAGTAATAATATGTATTATGAATGCTCATTTTTTATTTTCTCAACAATTGAATAATTTGACTTTCTTAATGGCCAACTATATTGGTATTTTTAAAAATTGATAGAATTATTTTTTAATTCGCATGACATTAACATATAATCATGACGCGAATATAAAAGAACAAGTTTTGATTTTTAATAGAATAAAATATATGTAAAGTCTGGTGGTAGTTCAATTCAACTCGAATAGTTGTACTAGTAGCAGAAGGTCTTTAGTTCGACCTCTGACACTTAAATACAACCAATAATAATAATTTCGTTTACAAAAAAAAAAAAAAAAAAAAGAGTAACCACCGGCACCGAGAAACACGGGCTGATCTCCAATGCTTACGTGTCATAGGTAATCTAAAAGTTGTTTATAAATAGGATCGGTCGAAGATGATAAAAGACAAACCAACCCTCTTCTCCCTTCCGTACTTGCTCTCTGTTCGTTCTCCTCTACTACTACTTCTCATCTCGATTATCTTCGTCGGCAGTCAAACTGTTCGTGACTCTCACATGTTTTTGTTCTTGTTGATTTTTTCATTGATGCCTTCCCCTTCACTTATTGCAGAGAAGTTCATCGGAAATCGAAGCTAAAGTACTATACGAGATCTGCAACGACAACGGAGTCCGCGGGCGGTTTACGATTCCACCGAATCTTCCACCTCTGTTCTGTTCCGTTCCATCGTTGAGGTAACCCCTGCTCTCTAATTTCTGATTTCTGCGAGACAAACCCATTCTCTAATGTTCCCTTTTGGGTGCAAATAGCATGTACCCTTAACCCTAATGTACTTTGTTGTATATCTAAAGCCCATCATTCCTTTCAATTGTTCCCCAAGATGTCTGTGCCGGCTACAATGAGAGTAACCAAGATTCCTTCCATGGATCTCACGATGACGAACCTCGCCTACTGCTCCCCTGCTGATCTCCACCACTTTGCTGACATGGGGACAGAGCTTTTCATGGCCTTGCTTGCCGACAGAGTCATTCTTAATCTTGCATATCCTTTCAAGCTCGACTCTTTTTTTTTTTTTTTTCGCTTTCTTTACAATCAGGCAAAACTAATCGTTGAGCAACTTGGTTTAAACAAGTAAAATTTGGTATGCTCTGAACAATTAGGTGTTGTTTGGGGAAGGGTTTTGGTTGTGGGAAGGAAATTCTATTTACCGCTTTTGTTTCCATGCTTGTGTGAATTATGAAAGATTTGGTTGGAATCATCTAGTTGCTGAGTGAAAGAATTTTTTTTTTTGGTAGAAGAAAGAAACTTTCAGCTCCTACATTGTTACGATGTTTCTGTCGACTGATGTGTTTAATGTTGTGGCATTGTCTTGCATTTTTACTGGCTTTGTCATAGAGATCTTGAAGGTCACTGTATTTTTTGCATCTTTGTTTGGTAAATTCTGATGTATCTGCCGGGATTGAACACTTTCTTAACTAGTCTTACTTCCCATCAAAGCGTTGAGAGAGGGCATATTGCGCTCAATGGTGCTCAGCGTCGGTGTATTAAAGTTTCTTCTGGTGATGAAGTTTCTGTCAGCAGGTGATTGTTCCTTTTTGATTTCTTTGTACTAGTGTTTTGAAGTTGAAAAATAGTATCTTATTCGTCCACGGTATCTCCTGAAGGTTCATCCCTCCCAATGACTTCGACCTTGCATTGCTCAAGCTCAAGCTGGAATTTGTGAAGAAGGAAGCAAGTAGAACTGAACAGGTATATGCGCACTGGTAGGAATGAATGTGATCAGGTTGTGGCAGGTCCTGAGTATTTGGCTTGTGGGTTGTTTTTTAAATTGATTGTGAAACAACACATGCTTTACGAAAATGGAAAAGGATGACATGATTAATAAAGCCAAATAATTTAAGAGATTGGGCCTCTCATGTAATAGTAAGTACATTAATGTCTAGGTGTGGTGTAATTGGATATGCATGATTTGATTTGTAGCAGTTATGTACAAGGGATCAAAAAATGCGTGCGGTTAGGTCGAATTCAGTTCCTATGCATTAATATATACATATATCAGATCATAGTACTGTAATGAGTTGTTTACTATTGATCTTATTACTACATACAACATAACTGGATTAACACAGGTT